ACGAATTTCTTTGTGAGAGTGAGTGGTTCTTTGTTCATATATGTGATGTCCTTAAATTATATTCGAATGTGTGGACGAAATACCCTCTTATTCTTTGGTGAGGAACATGACTCCATGACGGATAGGTGACTATTAAACATCTCTTGTTCGGTGAGTGCACGAGTTGAGAGTTGCTTATTGGCGACGAGTCGGTCTTTGAGGTTGGGTGGTTATGGGCAGGTTGTTTGAGTGTTTTTAATTGGTCACTAACATTTTGGCATGTGAAAGTTGGGAAAGGTATGAATGCCTATGCAAGGGCTTAATTGTCGGTATCAACTATGGTCATAAGTGTAGTGTGTTGAATTGCCAAAAGTTCCTCCATTGTATGATAACGTGCGTGCATTGTTTGGTTAGAAAGGTTTTAGGTTGCTCGAGGACGAGCAAGAGCTTAAGTGTGGGGTGGTGATGTTAGGCTAAAAATTCATGTTTTTGCATGTAATTTGCCTTGCATTATACCTCGATCTTGTTAACTTTGGTGTGAATATTTGTGACTCGAGCTTAATAATGGTGTTTATATGTATAAGAGTGAATTTGAAGTGATTTGGCAAGCTTTCATACAAAGTGAAGTAAAAAGAGAATAATTTGGAGTGAGTATGACTTTGGTGCCCAAGTTTGCGCCAGGCACCAACCAAACGCCAAGGGCAAAAGAGCACAGAAGTGGAAACATTTCGGTGTCCAGGTTGGCGCCAGGTGCCAAGCGAGACGGCCAAGGACGTATTTCGTCCTAATTCGGCTAGGACTTGGTAGTTTCGACCCTAAACTCCCCCAACATGTATAAAAGGGGTTCTAAACCTATTTCTTAGGGGTTAGACATTATTGGAGAGGAAAAAGGCTACGGAAACACTAGGAAACATCGAATCACAAGAGTTTTCTCTTCCGTTTTTCCTTAATCTGTATTTTAATGCTTTCAATTATTATATATGGTTATGAGTAGCTAAACTTTCTCATCTAGGGTTTGATGGAACCTTTTGGAGGATAAATTTTTGTTATATTTTTATATAATTGAGCCGTTGGATTTATCTACTTGTTCAACTACGTGTTTGTTGTTGTTGATTGAATGGCCATCAATTGACTATGCCTATTTAGTGTGTACTGCTCGAGAGAGAGTACATATTTAGGTAGTTGTTGAACAACATCACTCCTGACGTATGTGAGAGATCAATACGGAGGGTTTAAAGGCGGGATTAGAGATAACGAAACCATGGTGCGATCGTAGTGAGCGGTGAATTAGTGCCAGCTAATGTAATTCGAGAGAATACATCTAGTAAATTGTGGTAGTTTCTCAAGAGAGAATTACGACAACCAAAGTACTCTTGATCAGTAGAGAATACTTAGGCGATAGAAGACATAGCGGGAAGAGGATTCCAACAATTGGGAAATCATAACTCTAGACCTCCTTATTCTTGTCTCCAACCCTTAGTATCTCTTATTAATCTACTACTTTAATTTGTTTGTTAATTAGTTAGACATATGAATCTTAATGTTTATAACTTAGGAATAGTTCGAGTTTGTCTTCTTAGTGATAATAAATAGTTGTAGCTAAACCTTAATTCTCCGTGGGATTCGACACTGAACTCTTAGACCGGATATTATATTTGCAGCGACCGCTTAGTCCTTTTTATAAGGTATAGTTGGGCTTGATACACTAAATTTTAATAAAAGATTTAAAGTACAGTTCGACTTCACTATGACAGTCATCCTCTGTAACAACATTTACTATAATGACCAAATTTCTTTGGAACTAATTTTCATGTTAAGTTATAATATATGTTTTCGGCAGTCAAAAAAAATTCAAAACAAATAAGATTGTTCTAGAGAGGTTTGAGTGCAGTAAAATCAGTGACATTAAGGAAGTAGTTTATGTGAGGGCCTCAAGAGGGGGAAAAAACGAAATTAGGTTTAGGTCAACGGGCAATTATCAATTTTTGACTTGATTGTGTACTAAAATATCCCATGTAAAGCACTATGTAAGACTATAGAATAGTAAGAAAGCACATACACTATTTTCCAGATTGTGCAAATCTGAACTTTTGCCGACACTATATTTAGTTCAACAAAGTAAGCTTACGTATAAGACTTTTTGGATAAAAAGATAGCAAACTTTTATGAGATTTCATTTGAAAATTAGTATACACTTATTTGTGATGTCACTGCTGGCACGTCTTATAAAGGTGGAGACAAGATAATAAAAACACTTTTTTAAAGAATAAAATCTTGACATTCATGCACCAAAGTACAAAAATGTGCCCGTGATATAAGAGTTATAACAACTTACAATATATATTCAATTAAAAAAATCTCAAGAGTCATCATTTTTGCCATTTTATGCTTTATATATTTGACCTTTTTCGTTCTAAACCTTTTTTCGCATGATAGTGATAATTATCGCTAAGACTAAGATATTGAAAAAATAATAATTACTCTTGTACTTCAAATATACGGCACATTTGCATCTTATTTTAACAAAAAAAAAAAAAAAAAATCTGCTATTTTTATTTTTTCCCATAATGGTTTTATAAGATTTATGCTACTTCCGGCCACCAGCACAAATACTGAATAACTCCTCTTACTTATTATAAGAAAGACACAAAGTGCAGTTATTTCTCTCATATGATCAATACATGACCTATAGCCAACAAGAATGATTTTATTTTTCTTTTTCTTGAAGACAATATGAACCCTGAATTTAGATCATTTGCACAATTATATATTTATGATACAGAAAATGAAGTACAAAATAGAATTCATGCTGCGAGGTTTGAATTCTACCATAAATGAATTATAACACGTAAATATATTTTGCATGAAAATACAATATATAATAATTTCATATATATATATATTTCTGTGCAGTCGTGGCCAAACCATGGACAAACTTCATGCTGAGATTGTTAATGATCTGAAGAAAATGCTTAATGGCAACAATGTTTTGGCAAAGACATTTAGAATGGTAAGAAAAAGATTTCAAGAAGATAGAAGCTCGAATGTTAGACTCAGATTGATAAGAAAAAGGAGCACCGATGGAAGAAGATACAACTTGCCTACGATTTCAGAGGTAGCTGCTTTGGTGGTGGGAGATTTTGAACTATCTAGATGTGATAGGGACATCATTATCGAAACCTAACCCGGACAACTACAAAGGATAAATGAATTAAATGCTGAACATTTAGGGTTACAATATCCTTTACTATTTTCATATGGTGAAGATGGATACAGAGAGGACATTCCTTTCGACGGAGATGATGAATCAACTGGAGGAAGGAAATGTGTTTGCATGCGGGAGTATTTTTCTTATATAATTCAAGAAAGGAAGAATGAAGTTCCGACGATTTTGTCTTCTAGAAGATTATTTCAGCAATTCTTGGTTGATGTATATACAATGATCGAATCTTCTCGATTAAGGTATATTATGCTCAATCAAAAAGATGTCACATGTATAAAAGCTTACGAGACACTGTTTTGCAAGGAGAAATTAATCCTTCTTCTCAAGGAAAAAAGATAATTCTACCATCCAGCTTCACAGGGGATGCACGATACATGATTCACAACTATTAAGATGCTATGGCAATATGCAAATGGGCTGGGTACCCTGATCTTTTCATCACCATTACTTGCAATCCAAAGTGGCCTGAGATTCGTAGATTTTTAGAGAGTAGGGGCTTAAATCCTGAGGATCGTCCAGACATTTTAATTAGGGTATTCAAAATCAAATTGGACCGTTTGATAAAGGACTTACGCGACAATCAGATTTTTAAAAAAGCAGGTATATTGCCATAGTCAACTTCTAAAAAATAATAATTACCTTTTATGTTACATAGGATAATAGGTTTTAAAATGAATATTTCAATTATATTTATGAAGTGTAATAAATTCTTTTTGGTGCAGCGATTTATACAGTTGAGTTCCAAAAACGAGGGTTGCCTCATGCTCACATCTTGCTTTTTCTTCACGAGCATGATAAATGTCCAACTGCTGTAGATATTGATCGAATCATTTCTGCCAAAATACCAGATGAATTGGCCGATCCTGTTTATTATAAGGTCGTGCATAGTTTTATGATGCAGTCCCGTGTGGTTTTGCAAGAAAATCTTCTCCTTGCATGTAGAGCAAAAGATGTACCAAGCATTTTCCAAAAAGGTTTGTTGAGTCAACACCAATTGATGAAGAGGGTTATCCTGTTTATAGACGAAGGGATAATGGTAGAACTATCAAAAAGGATGGTATTGACTTTGATAGTAGGTATGCGGTGCCTCACAATCGGTTCTTATTACTTAAGTATGGTGCTCATTTTAATGTAGAATGGTGCAATCAGTCAAGATTCATTAAGTACTTATTTTAGTATATTAACAAAGGAAATGATCGTGTTACCGCTACTTTTTCTCAGAGTGTGCAAGAGGAAGATTCATCAAATATTGATGAAATAAATATGTATTACGATTGCCGATACATATCACCATGTGAAGCTGCTTGGAGGATATTCAAATTTCCAATTCACCATGGAGAACCTCCTGTGGAAAGACTATCATTTCATCTTCCAAATGAACAAAATGTTATATTCTCTGATGATGATCCAATCGATAATGTTGCAAATACACCAATTGTAAAGGAATCAATATTTTTAAGCTGGTTTGAGACAAATAAAACATTGCCAGAAGCAAGAGAATTGACTTATGCAGAATTCCCTCTTAAATTTGTTTGGAAGAAACAATTGAAAAGATGGGAGAAAAGAAGAACTTCTTTATTTTTCATTGGAAGAATTTTCTTTGTTCCGCCTGGAACTGGTGAATTATATTATCTCAGATTGTTGTTGAATGTCATTAAAGGTCTAAAATCCTATGACGATCTTAAAAGAATCAACAATCATAACCATCTCACTTTTAGAGATGCAGGTTATGCACTTGGGTTATTGGATGATGATAAAGAGTATGTGGATAACCATAAAGGAAGCAAGTAACTGGGGAATGCCATCATACCTTAGGCAATTATTTGCTATATTTCTGTTATCCAATTTGATGACTCGGCCAGAATATGTTTGGCAATCAACATGGCAATTATTATCAGAAGATATCCTCCATGAAGAAAGAGTGTTGTTGACTAATCCAGGTATAAATATAGACTTTCTATTTTCAAGTTATCAAATAATGTTTCAGTGTAAATATGCGAAAAATCAATAAAGTAGTTATTTGTAGCATAATAGCTAAATATAGTTATAAAGAGGATAAGTGGACAAAAAAATACATACTTATATATCATGTTTGGAAATTTGAGTGTACATATGAGGATATAACCAGTCTAGCTCCAAGTATATATAAAGGGTTAACAAATAGTCTTTAATAACTCAGGGACTAAATTTTGCACAAAATTTAAAATAAAATCTGCAAATTTTATTTTTATATAAACACAGATTCTAACTCTTTCTACTTGATTTCTTTACTTAGTTATTTATTATTGATATTCTTTAATTTATGACCTTTATTTCTAAGATAATAAGGAGTCGCGGGATATAACATTCATAAGCTCTTTGTTGTGTAAATCATAATTAAAAGAAACTAACCTAACTATATTTGTTAAATAAAATATACCTTATTTGTTTAATCATGTAATATCTTTTATATTATCGTTATTTAAATTCAATAATTCTTTTTGTTCTTTCAAAGGCAGAGCTAACAGATGATGAATTGAAAAATCGTTGTTTGCAGAAGTTGGAAAAAGTTTTGAAAAGTTGTGGAAGAAGTTTTCAGGATTTTCCAACAATGCCAGGACCTCTTTACAATGAGGAAGAAGTTGACCATAGCAATAGATTAATCCATGATGAATTGTGTTATAATCGTCGTTCTCTGTTAGAGGAACATCAACAATTATTAATGAATTTGACAGCTGAACAAAAGTCGGCTTACGACAAAATTATGAGGGCAGTGAATGAAGCCAAAGGTGGATTCTTCTTTTTGTATGGTTACGGGGGAACTGCAAGACTTTTATTCGGAAAACGTTGTCTTCTGGCATACGATCTACAGGGGACATTGTGTTAACTATTGCATCAAGTGGCATTGCATCTCTTTTGTTACCAGGTGGTAGAACAACTCATTCGAGATTTGCAATTCCTCTCAATCCAACTGAAGATTCAACATGCAATATAAAGCAAGGTAGTCCTCTAGAAAATTTGATTATAAAGGAAAAGTTTATTATTTGGGATGAGTCACTGATGATGCATAAATATTGTTTTGAAGCTCTTGATCAAACTCTTAGAGATATCTTAGATTTAAAGACACATCCAGTGCTGATAAACCTTTTGGAGGTAAAACAGTTATTCTTGGTGGCGACTTCAGACATATTTTGCTTGTTATTGCAAAAGGATCTATGCAAGATATTGTTAACGTGACTCTTAATTCTTCGTATTTGTGGACCCACTGTGAAGTCTTAAATCTAACAAATAATATGAGGTTGCAAAGAGATCAGTTAGATGCACAGTTGGATGAGTTAAGAAATTTTTCTGAATAAATTTTGGCAATCGGTGATGGAAGGATTGGGAGTTCCATTGATGGCATTGAGAAGGTCCAAATCCCCGATGATCTTCTCATAAGTAATTGTGATGATCCAATATCAGCAATTGTTGAAAGTACATATCCAGATTTCTTTAGCCATTCCAGTGGCATAGATTACCTCCAACAAAGAGAAATTCTTGCTCTGATTCTTGATATGGAGGAATCAATCAATGAATATATGGTTTCACTCAATCATAGTCCTGAGAAGACATATTTGAGTTCTGATACCGTTTGTATGTCTGACCATTCTTTTTCAGCTTTGGAGCACGTACATACACCGGAATTCCTAAATAGTATTAAATGTTCTGTAATTCCAAATCACTCTAATACTTTGAAGGTTGGTGTTCTTGTGATGTTGCTGAGAAATATAGACCGGTCATCAGGATTGTGTAATGGCACGAGGTTGATCATCACAAGACTTGAAAATCGGATTATTGAAGCCAAGGTTTTATCTGGTAATATGGCTGGACAAAAAGTGTTTATCCCGAGAATGACATTGACACCATCAGATGCAAGAATACCTTTTAACTTACAGCGAAGACAATTTCCAATTGTTGTATCTTTTGCCATGACAATTATTAAAAGTCAAGGCCAGTCATTGTCTCACGTGGAGTAATTTTTTAAGAAGCCAGTATTTACTCAAGGACAACTGTATGTTGCTCTTTCACGCGTGACAAGTAGAAAATGGTTGAAGATTTTAGTTTATGATGATGATGGTCAAATAACGAATGAAGCTAGAAATGTGGTGTATAAAGAAGTTTTCCGTAATTTAGTTTGAGATGAAGCTAGAGATGGTGTATCATCGGAATTTATGAAATGTAGGTCCTAAATGCTAGAGATGTGGAATCATCAGATATTCACAATTTGCTTTTCCAATAAATATAAAGAGAGATGACTATAAGTTTTAACTCATCATTCACCGTTGTTTTGGCAGGGGCGAAAAGAATTTGGTGATGTAAGTATAATATGTTTCACCAACAAGATGCAGAGCCAAGTTAACAGAAGTTGCTTTCTACTATTGTCTTTTAGACTACACTATTAACGATCTAATTCACTTAAATATGTTTTTCTTTTCAATTCTATTGACCATCTAATTGTTGTTTGTTCTTATAGTTATCATTTTTGAATTACATATATAGTTCTAGCGAGTTTAGATTGTGCACTATTTATTTATTTTATGTGATTTCATAAACCAATGTGACAATTCTTCATGAATTACTGAAAATTGTGTCACGTTCATTTGCGATGATAGCTGGTTATGTTATTTCTTGCTGACACCAAGTATTGGTGCATGTTTCTTACATGATATTACAGAGGGTATCTCTTGTTACTCATTCTGTGGGCAACTGTGTGAAGCGAGTGGTTGTTATTGTGACTTCTGTGCTCTTCTTTCGTGTACCCGTTTCTCTTATTAACAGTTTGGGTATGACAGCTTACACTTTATACTTGTCATCATATAGCTGATTGAGAAGGAAATCCCTTTTCCTATTCCAATCCCTCCAGATGGCAGCTCGAGTGAACACATGTGGAATAAAAAAAATTTAGAAATTACTTTTTTTATGTACAACAAGATAATAATTTTCTTCTTCATTTTTTATGCACTGGAGTGGCCCTTGCTGGAGTTTTCCTATATTCAAGGGTGAAGGGCATTAAACCTAAGGCAAAAACGGAATGAAGTCTGGATCAATTTTGATGGTAAATTATGATCATTAGATGGATGAACCAAAACTTGGTTGTATTCTAGGCAGGGCCTTCTTTTAGTTTGTTGTGCCATGTGGGACGAGTTATTCTTTTCTGATGCAGCCTTAACTAATTGCTGCTAATTTGACGATTTCACTACATCACTGTTGTCTTTCTTCTGTAGGGTGTATTTTGTAATGTTCGACATGTTTAGGACCCAAGTAGCATTGCCTCATGTGGAGTTTCTTACATGGTAAATTGTGATCATTAGATGTGATCAAATATGACACCGGGTTTCCGGCGAAGATAATTTTCAACTGTTGTATCTTTTGCCATGACAATTAATAAAAGTGAAGGCCAGTCATTGTCTCATGTGGCTTGGAAAAGTTCTTTCTTGATGGTGTTCTACTATTTGATTTTGTTCCCAAACCTTCTTACTGACATTTTACTGCTGAATGTGAGTATTTTATATAGAGTATAACTTACATTCCCCATGTTACAGGGGTGACTTTAATATCTAATACATTCTGCTTCTCATTTACAATATGATATTAATAATTTATTTTTCTTTTCTGATTATATCGTAAGAACAATATTGTCATACTAATATTCAAAAGTACCATTCGCGCATCGCGCGGGTACTACTACTAGTTATAAGAAAGACACAAAGCGCAGTTATTTCTCTCATATGATCAATACATGACCAATAGCCAACAAGAATGATTTTTTTCTTCTTTTTCTTGAAGACAATATGAACCCTGAATTTAGGTCATTTAGGTCATGAGCGGTTGTGTCACGACCCCAACCCCGGTCGTGATGGCGCCCAACACACTGCTAGGCATGCCCGACCAATTAACAACCTTAACCCAATTCATTATACAGTTTATTATTAGCTAACACAATTAAATTACCAAATCAGCATATTAGAAGTCTGAAATAAGAGTTAAATATGCGGAAATTCAAATAACAATATTACTACATAGCCCTAAAGATCCGGTGTCATAAGTCTGAGCCTCTAATACAGGTTTATCAATCTAATACATGTCACTCTAGGGGAATACAAAATAAAAATAAAGGATAGAAGGGAGGGATCACGGTTGCGGACGCCATGCAGCTACCTCGATGCTCCCAGATATGCGCTGCTCAACAGAAAATCCTCACTCAGCCTCAGGTGCACCTGGATCTGCACGCAAGGTGCATGGAGTAATGTGAGTACTCCGACCCAGTGAGTAATAAACATAAATAAAGACTGAGAATAAGAAATCATGGATAAACACATTGTAATCTATAATACGGCAGTTTAAACTAAGTAGTATGAAATCAAACCAGTAAAGTAGAAACACGGAAAAAAGCTACAACAGATAAGCAAATAAATGATAACCAAATAAAGGAATGCATCACATAGTACAGTACTCTCTAGTACCCGTTGCGGCGTGCAGCCCGATCCATTTATTTATCGTCGACGGCGCTTACTGGGGGTGTGCAGACTCCGGGAGGGGCCCCTTACGGCCCAAGCGCAATATCAAGCCATCTCGTGGCATCAGCTAGGCCCTGGGCCTAATATCAATATCAATATAATACTGCGGCGCGCAGCCCGATCCATATTCTGTCCAGAAATCACATAAGCCCCTCGAGCCATAATAAAATAGTAGTTCTCAGCCCAAAACATCATTAGAAATTTCATTTAAGTTTCAAATCGGGGTAAAAGTGGCTGAGTTTGTAAAACAGTATTAAACAATAGGACTGAGTTCAAGTAATATGTCAAAATAGTGAGAAAACAGTGATAGCAATCCCCGAAGGGTTCAAATAATTGGCATGAAGCCCAAATATTACAATTAGTCACATAATATGATGATACCAAATAAGCTTCAATCAATTACGCGGTAAAAAAATCACTCGGGACGGACCAAGTCCCAATCCCCAATAGTAAACGACCCCGCGCTCATCATCAAGTGCGTGTCTCACCTTAATATAGCACTACGATGTGCAAATCCGGGGTTTCAAACCCTCAGGACATCATTTACATTCATTACTCACCTCAAACCGGCCAAAACTCTAGCTCGCTATGCCCTTGCCTCTCAAATCGGCCTCCTCGCGCGTCGAATCTGACCAAAACCACAACGAATACGTCACAATAGGCTAAGGGAACAAGACCCAAGCGAAAGCAATCGAAAAATATCAAAAATCCCGAAATTAGCAAAATCCGAGCCCCGGGCCCACTTCTCGAAACTCAGAAATTTTCACATCAACGGGTTCCTTATCTCGCCACGAGTCTATGCATATAAAGAACACCAAAATCGGAGTCCAAATGTCGCCTCAAATCCCAAGTTAAAATCTCAAAATCCCAAGCCCTAGTTCTTCCATTTTTGGCTAAATTTCCATGAATTTCTAGGTTAATTTCACATAATAATCACGTTTTTAGTTCATAGGACTTACCTCCAATCAATCCTCTTCGAAACCCTCTTCAATTTCTCCCAAATAGTTCTCAAAATGCCCAACAATGGAGGAAAATATGACCTAGCTCGCAGAGGAAATGTTTTAAAAACTATTCTTCCCAGTTCTGATTTTCTTCTATGCGAACGCGATGGCCCCCTCGCGCTCGCGATGAACAAGTTTTTCCTCTGACCAAAATTACCCTTCGCGAACGCGGTGTCCCACAGGCGAACGCGATGCCCTGGGTCTCTGAACCTATGCGAACGCGGCCACTGAAACGCGAACGCGAAGAACAACCAAACGACCTTCCGCGAACGCGAGACCCAAATGCGAACGTGAGACCCAAATGCGAACGTGAAGAACAATTTTCAGGGACCCCAACTTCCTTCTTCGCGAACGGCGGCCCCAGGCACGCGAACGCGAAGGCCAAAATAGGCCTGCACCTGCTGCTGCATTTTCTGCATATTTTCCAAGTTCAAAACTTCCCGTTAGCCATCCGAAATCACCCCGAGGCCCCCGGGACCTCAATAAAGAGTACCAATACATCCTAAAACATCATTCAAACTTGTTCCAATCATCAAAATACCTCAAACAACACCAAAACCATCAAATTACATCGAATTCAAGCCTAAGTTCTTCTAAAACTTCCGAAACACGCATTTGATCAAAAACCCAACCAAATCACCTCCGAATGACCCAAAATTTTACACACACATCCCAAATCACATAACGAAGCTACAGCAACTCTCGGAATTCCATTCCGACCCTCGGATCAAAATCTCACCTATCAACCGGAATTCGCCAAAATACTAACTTCGCCAATTCAAGCCTAATTCTACACCGGGCCTCCAAAACCACTTCCGATCAATCCTAAGTCACAAATCATCCCCCGAAGCTAACCGAATCATCGGAAATCACATCCGAGCCCTCTAACGCATAAGTCAACATCCGGTTGACTTTTCCAAACTAAGCCTTCCTTAAAGAGACTAAGTGTCTCATTTCTTACCAAATTCACTCCGGACTCAACCCGCTCAACTCAACCACATAAAACACGGATAACGAAGCGTAAAGAAGCAGGAATGGGGGAAACGGGGCAGTAACTCATGAGACNTTCAAAAATCGCGAAGAAGAACCTTTTATACCTTCTGCCCAGTCGAAACCGCATCTGCGGTCAATTACCCGCTTCTGCGGTAATATTCCGCATCCGCGGAGATTCATTAAAACTCCCCCTACCGCATCTGAGGTCCAATAGCCGCATCTGCGGCTCCGCAGGTGCGGTCCTTCTTCCGCATCTGCGGATCCAGGCCTTCCTCAGCCCCTCCGCTTCTGCGATACCAAACCCGCATCTGCGATACCGCACCTGCGGCCCCGAAGCCGCAGGTGCTAAAATACCAGCAACAGCAAAAATTTGAAATTTGCCCAAGTCCAAAACTCCCCGTTAGCCATCCGAAATCACCCCGAGGCCCCCGGTACCTCAACCAAAAGCACCAACACATCCTAAAA